GAGTATAACAGGAGCTCTCCTGTAGTTAGTCGTTGTTGTCCAACTTGTGTCCAATCTGTTTCACTAATCCCAAGCACCTCTAGGTTGTATCTTCTCATTTCTGCAGCAATTTGGAAGGCTATCCCGGTGTCCCACATTGTACGAACATTCCAAGTACCTAAATAAATGGTCGCTCTGGTTGTCAGAAAGGGCATTGGCCTCGTAACTTCCGAAGGAATCCGGCTTTCATCATGAGGCATCATAATTCTTCTAAATGAAGACCTTCTGACTCCCAGGGCAGAGTTTAAAAGGTTTGAATAATTTTTTCTGGTTAGCGTTTTTTTAGCGAGTTAGTTTTCTACGGGATGGGGACGCTAACCCCATGCCCAACCCTCCTCCTTTATCCGGGCTTGGGACCGGCAGTAGCCCCCGGAGGGACTCCAGGCGGAGTTTTGATCGTAACTACTAAAGCGAATTCTCGTTACAGTTCTTACAGCTTATTAATTATTCCTAAGCCTTGTGATTTACGTTTTCGTCCAAATGTGCACATGAAAACAACAAACATGTAATTAAATCTAGCGTCATTCGACGCTCTACTTCCTATATATATGTAGTGAGTGTAAGTTTTAGGCAAGCTATTGTACTCGATTGCTAAAAACTACGTGCATATTTTCTTTTTGAGTTATTACAAAAATTGAGTATAAATTAGTCATAACCTACGTAGTGTTTAGTGTAAGAGTCTGTCGGTGCTGATCGCCACATCTTATCACCAATACTAGATAAAAACAACAAGAAGAGTAGCAAAGAAATTGAACTAATGAACATTTCAATGATAGTAATAAAGACTGGACACAGTTAATGTTGTTCTATAATAATAAGTATGAAATTAAGCTAAATCTCATGTTTTAGAAGATAACAGAGAATGAATCTACTCTTTTGCAATCTTTTTTTAAGCTGTCACCCAAAGCTTTCAACTATTGGTCATGAGTATATCGCTGAACCCAAGCAAGTAGTTGACTCTAACCGATATTATTATTATTATTATTAACTTTATTCAATATTATAATTTTGGTACAATATAGAATTCTCAGCGCAAAGTATTTCAACAAGTTTCCGTTTCTTTCTTCTTGGTCGGTCCTGGCGATAAATATTGAGGAATCGCCAGTTAGATGTTAGCACTTCAGTGAATGAACAACTGAATAATGTACATTCTTTTCGTTGTACATTGCCAGCAACCATATTGTCTCTTATTGAGTTTTTTGTAACTTTGACAACGAAAGGTTGTACACTTTTCAGAAACGCAGCAGAATAGGTTATGCGATTAATAAACATAATGATATATTAAAACAAACAACAATAGATAACTTGTTGAAATATCTAGATGGCAGGAACAGGTAGCCCAGATGCTCAAGTAGGCCGCCGCAATAGTTTGTGGCCTTACAGACTCCGAAGATTTCACAAATAAAAATGTCAAAAATAACAAAGAATCTTGAGTACAATCAAAAGTTTTTAGTAGAGGTTGTAGTTTCATAGTAATATGATGATCGATATCATTGTGAAGAATAATAATGACAATATCACTGTGTGACCTAATATCATCATCAGCAAGGAACTAAAAGTCAGGATAATCAATAAACATATGAATATGACAAAAACTTATTAACATGATACTAAGTTTATACCATTCATACATACACACAAAGGTATAACAAATAATTACAGTGACTTTTTTAAAAATATTTCTATGTACCTGTTTTTACCTGGCTTATTCGACTCCCTATGAAAACTGACAACATTCTACATTAACCAGAGTTACTACCTGTTGGAGATTACATAGAACAACATTAAATTTATATTCGTTTCATTACAGGAAGGAATCTGAGACTTCATTCATAAACTGACTTTAATATTACAACAACTCAGTAATCATTCATCAAGACTACAGATTGGATAATGTGATTGTTCTGATATAATGAGAAGGTATACATGCTAGATTTTATTTTCGTACAGGGACTCGATGTTGTTCAAGTAGAATTCTAGTTAACTTTCAAAATATATTTACTTAACAAGTAAATAACATGTAGAAATTTAGTTAACTTGTTATGAGTAATGAATTAGATCTGAAGATAAATTTTTTTCACTGACAGACTAATTAAGCTGAATGTAATTGAAAACGTATACAGACAAAAAACCAAAACAGCCTTCCAAAATCATTGTGCTCGTCACCGCATCTTAATGCACGATCCCGTTTGTTTACTTGAACACTTCTTGCCAAGAAGCTTCAAAACAAACTAAAAAAATAATTATTCACTGCTTTCCAGTTTTCAATGCTATTTCAGCTGATATCAATGTGACAAATCAACTGTTTGTAAATACTTAACTAAAATATAGAGTGTATTTTGGATTTTCTTAATAAATTTCTAATGTAATGATTAATTCATTACAGACTAATATTCAAGTGTCATTGAGTACGTGTTTTTTTTCTTTTCTAAGATCAAAAACACACCTAACACAAGAATCAACACAGTACTTTTTTGTCTTCTTTTAATGAATGAAATCTATTTACCATCTGAGATTTCTAGTTTGAATTTGTGTAAAATGAGAAAGTGATAGGACTTTTGCTTTTTTTATTTTTGAATAAAACCACTAATGGTCATATAAAACAGTACAATTGTTACTTTAAATCTAAGCACAGTTATTTTAAAAAAAGGTAATGTGCTTAATGTAGTATGTATAAGTCATTAATTAAATGAATTTAACACACACACACACACACGGACGCACATGAAAATGTCATGTGATATGAGTTTACAATAGATTATTTTTTCGTTCTGATATTACACAAAAAAAAAAAATTAAGGAAATCAATAATCATATGACCAAATGGGATGATAGAATTTGTACTTTCAAGTGGTGTCATATAATTTGCATTAATACATAGTAATTTTCTATTAAAGGCTTGATTTTTACATTATGACTATAGTTGTGTATTGTTGTTTTTTTGTCAATAATTTTTTTTATAAAGCTCAACATATTACTAATCTTTTTTTGTCTGTTCATTCCGTTATTAACTCGTAGCGTTTCTATGTGTATCTTCGCAAAAGTTCAGCATATTTAGTTGATTCACTTCAGTGTAAGTTGTTATTATGGTTTCGTAAGTGTGAATTCCTGATCATAACTAAGATGAAATCATTAGTCTAAAATGATTGTATTTAATATATAAGATGAACAGATTTTTGATTTTATTTGTTGTGAGTTCATAGGTTCGATTTTTATATAGTTTGAATAGATGGTTAATACATTGCTTGTTTGTTTTTTTCCAAAAGGATATTCGTTTATGTTATAAAACAATTTTCAGATAACTTAATGTCTTGCTTTAATCGTAAACAAAATAATCAATTACTTGCTTGTTTCTTTTTCTGACTTTACACTGAATAAAATTTTAAAAAATAGTCGTATCAAGTCGACATTATTTTCAAAGGTAATTTAAACATTTTGTTTATAAAGATGGATTAGTTTAAAGTAAGTTTAGTATCTAACTGGAATGTTTTTAAATGTGTACACTGATCATATTTTTATGTTCAAACTGAGTTCATCTTAAAATTGAGTTGATCTTTACAAAAAACTTAAATATTTTATAAATCCAATACATCCTAGTTATTCTTTAATATTACAAGTAGTAAAATAAATACGAATGTACAGCCTAAGTAAATGATTTTGTCAACAACAAAAAAATTTTCTTCGCTGAATACTCTTTATTTTTATCCAAAGAAAATAGTTTCTTATCAAGGTCTCTGTAATTCCATGTAATTAATCCGTTAACCCACCACAGAATTCCTCTTGAACATTAAACTTTCGATTGTTAACTAGTAAAATGACATGGATTTATACAAATAAATATATTATTAGCAACTAAGTTCCCGTAGTGGCTGAGGGAAATCCGTATACGTTAATTAAGGAGGATCTCATGTGAATAGTTGTGTGAGTGCTAGTGGTCTTTTGGCTGGTGAGGTCAACCTATGCATAATGAAAGGTTATATCAGTTATATCAATCAGGTTATATCAATCTACATTGTCTTCTACACGATCGTGATACTAGTTTGGAAGTACAAGCGTGGGTTCATATCCCATCTGCCGCAGCAGCTCTGCTCTAGGCTTGCGAAACATGGCTTATCCCAGATGAGGATGTTAGGCAGATCTCTGTTTTATCGTCGTTATCTCCGAAAGATTGCTGACATCGAATGGAAACACAATGTGGATAATGTTATAGTTCAGCAATGAGCGTTGCAACGCAGCCACGACAATTCAGTTAGTGTCATCAACTGGAAACACTGGCTTTGATGGCTTAAAGAACTTCTATGAAAATCATCATAGTGGCTTACACATCACCTATTATTTGCCGACGTTAGGACCGGATGGAAAATGGAGTAGAATAGTTAGTTTATGACATGCTACTGTGGTACAAAAGAAAATTATACGGAACTAGCGCATGTTCAACCAATAAATTAAGACTAACAAGGCGATAGATGTGTTTTACTATGTGTACTTATTAAAGCTTTCTGATTTTTCGTAAGAATAGCACTTCTAAGAATTTAGACTGTTATCATGAATGAATCAATGTTAGACCACCATTGAAAACCTGAAAGCACTGGACGGCCATGTCGTCCTATTGTGGGACTCTTCATCAGCGCGTACCCACGAACCCGCATACGGAACTCGAACCCTAGACCTTTACATTGTAAGATGTTTTAATTACCTTGTCTTTTTATGATAAAACTCTCTACATGAACAAATATTTCTATAACTTTTACATAATTTATACTTTTGGACAAAATATTTGCAAATTTGAAACTACATCAAGGTTATATGTTAGATGTAAGACAATAATACTTCTATTATTGATTACAATAGGTGTGTCAAATAGAAATAAAATATTATAGGATTTATGTTTGAAATTAACTTAAAATAATTTCCTTAAGTTTTATTATTTATAATTGAAATTAGTAACTAATTCAAATAGATTATCGTGTAGTTTGTACTTTATTCAAATTAATGAGTACATTCAATCAAATTAACATTAAGGATAACATAATTCTAGTGTTGAAGATATGGAATCTATTGTTATGATAAACTTTCGTTATAAACTATCAAATTGACATTTGATGATACAATACAACTAAGTAATGATAAGAGCATTAAGCTAAGTTATACTTCCGAAATAGAGAGGTAAATATGTAAATTTCAATCAAAAAATAGATCCTAATATTCAGAAATTGTTTCATAAAATAAATCATGTGTCAAAGGTGGAACGTTAAAACGAAACTGAATTTTAATCGTTGAAATTCATTTGTGTGTGACGCAACTAAAGTACAGAATTGACGATAAACTTCAGACGGATTATGATAATAAAAAAGCCATAACACTTTGTGACTAAACTCATAAATAAAATCATAAAAGCTTTTTTTAATGAAGGTAACATGAATGGACTTCATAAAGTATCTATATTGGGAGTTTTAAGTGTGAAAAAGTGTTCCTTTGTTTGAGTCTTCTAGCTAAATTATTGTGTTCCCAGCCCACTCATTGTTTTTACGTTGGTTAAGTGTTTATAAAGTTTTATTTCCATCAAATAAATTATTAACAATCATAGGCCAGATATGATGTTGAGATAATTGTTGAAGTTTATAGAGACCTGTAGATTATATCAATCTGTCTGCAATGGATGTATGCCTGTGGCAGCGACAGTAGCATTGCAAACTCTACCATATACTGTAACATCAACTACAAATAGCAATAAGCATTACACAACATCTAAAATCTATTTATCCATAGTGCATATCAATAATTAAAGTAGAAACTTATTCGTAGTAGAATATCTACAACTAACGTGTTTAATTAGAATGACTGTGCAAGAAAAAATAAAATACAAGAAAAATTCTAGTCTGTTATTTATTTCTCATATTTAATTAACAATAAAAACAACCATCTCAATGTGATAAGAATAGTGATCTTTGAGAAATTTGTGTAAATAATAAAAATAGTGGTAAATTATTCTATATTTGTATATGTATGTGTTTGCTATCGAATAAGCAATCAAAATATGCTAATAGAAAAACATTATGATTTTTAAATGGAAAATAAAATTAATTCGACTGTTACACAATTGCTACAACAAAATGACAAAGTAATTCACTAAACAAATAATGAATAAAACTAAAGAGGAAGATTACCGAGGATAATAATAATAATAATAATAATAATAATAATAATAATAATAATAATAATAATAATAATAATAATGCTAATAATAACATTCTATAAATAAAATAAGAACTTTCAAAATAACGCGTCCAGACAAATACACACTTATACAAAAGAAAAATAGTAAATGAATAACGAATATTTAAACACTTTAACAGTATACAGAGGAGAAAGAATGATTTCATCAAATCTTTTTTTAACTAATAAACTCTACTTATACACATGTGCGTAATTGGTTTTTGTTTAATATTATATTGAGACTTGAAAAGATTAAAAAGAAAAACTAAAACAATTCCATGTTTTTATTACAAACATGTTTATTATGTCTTTAGGGTAAATATATCTGTTGAATAATAACAGTAAATGAACAAAAATACACGCTAGGAATGGAAAAAAAGAAAAAATGAAATGGGCCCACTAAAAAGAATATCTTTAGAGGAGTTTAAGAAGTGGAATACAATGAGGAAGTGGACAGCCTTTTATTAACGAAAAAAACAAACAAGGGAATATAATGTATCACAGCCACAATATATTAAAAAGCAAGTAGTTGGTTGACATTTTCCTTGAATATAAACTTGACCAATTTTCACAACAAATAAATTATCAGCAACATATAGCTTTATAATAAGATTAGGGACTAGAGCTGCGTAGTGCATCTAAAGATGATGTTGATTTTGAAGTATACTCAACTTGATCTGTATCAGATGATATGGAATTTGATGATGATGAATGTTCACTGACGAGATGAGCATGCTGAATTGTTGTAGAGCCAGTAATAGAAGAAATAGTTGTGGCGGCGTTGATATTATTGATATTAGATGGCGTAGTTAATGTAATAGGATTACTATTTGTAGATAATTTTGCTAACGAACGATAGGAATCTAGCCATTCTTCTACCATGTTATCAACAAGTGTATGTTTTGCATGTAATCGTAATCGGGCAAGCGGTAACCCCCGTCTTGTACATACCACATCTAACCATTCTTGAAGAAGTGTATGGGACATTCTAGCCTGTAATAATAATAATCTCATTTTAAAAATGCAAGTTAATTACCAAATACAAGTTAATGTAATCGGCCAAGAACTACATTTGGTCGTTTCTAGACGATAATGGAGAAAATACAGAAGAAAAGTTTGATTTCTTCGCCAATTCTTATTGTATCATATGATTGTTAACATTTTACGGCGAATTATAAAAAGGTAAAAACTTTTGCTACCCTGATTTGCTTATAGGTCAGTCATTTTTATCAAAATAGACGATGTGAAATAATGGATTTTGTTCCTGTAACGGTGATCTCGCTCTATGTTTCAAAATTATGTTGGCTGATGTGTACTTTGATGAGGTCTTTTCTTTGGGATGGAATAATGATAGGATTTAAGTGTTACCGAACTTCTAAACTGATTTCTAAAAATTAGCGGATACTCACTTAGTAGGGGGCTTTCAGTAAATATTTTGAAATCTACAGTTATATACAAAATAAAGATGCATTGGGTTACAGCGAATAGCATCTTACTAAGACTAGTTCATATTACAATAGGCAAAAGTTGTAAATATTTATATGTTGACCTGGTGATGTGACAACTATTAAAAATACGAGCAACTCGATCCACTAGCTATACAAAGCTTTCTGTATAAGGTCACTGCTTAACTTAGCTTTCATAATTGTTATCTTAAGTCGACTGTCAATATGAAAAAATCCATACACTTTACTTCATTGGATATACTTTAGACAAAATTCCATATTACCATTATCCGAACTTTAGCCAGAGCTTTGGAACCAAACCATTGACGACAGATGACGTGCAACTGAACTCCAAACAATATATATATATATCTCATAAAATCTAATACAGCTACATAGATCCTCAGTGTAAACATATTGTTAGTTAATGTCCAATACAATCAATCAGTTAAATCCAACTTTGTTGATACATTATTACAAAGAGATTATGCCTAAAAAAATTTGATTTAAAAAAATAGTTCCTGAAGAATAACCTAACATAATTGCTTCGCAATGGTTGTCTTTATTCTTTAGAGTGGAATTGAGAACATATTTTACCTCTTTTTCTGTAGTGAAATGTATTGGTAACAAAACTCCTTGTTTGTCAACGAGTGGAAGATATACAAAAGCATTTTGTTGAGCTATTGCACCAGGTAAGGTTGTTCCACAGCTGGCTAACGATGATTCTGTTGAAGAAACTAGTTGCGTTTCTGAAAGAGATGTTGAAAGAGGAACAGTAGTGAGTGGCACTTGAGTATAATTACTTGTTTCATCCAGGGGTGTAGGACTATGTTTACGTGAAGATGTAGGAGGAGAAGCATGTGGTGAAAAGGTAACCCCAGTTGTTTGGTTGGTATCTGCATTTGACTCATTGCTTACACCACTCGAGGATAAGGGGCACGGTTCAATGGGTACAAGCGCAGTAAAATGACCCCGAGTAAAGCCCAAAACAATGGGATTCCGAGAACAAGAGCATTTTTCCCAGAGAAGTGGGAGGTAAATACCTAAAAATAATTTGAAAATACAGCAATCGCGTTTATAAGTGAAGACTTTTAACAACGGATGAAACAAACATTAAAGTTTCGTTAAATCGGGAGGCCTCATAGATATATCTTACAGTTTAAGTGATTTTACTGTGCATTGATAACAGATGACGACATTCACGGAGGACTATTATACAACTGTCTAATTTTGGCGTAGAACTACTACTCAACTCAGTAATGCACAAATACGACTCTTCATCACTGGGCCGAACTTTCGTGTCTCGTTATAGATAACAATACCATTAGACGACCACATCAGAATACAATGGTCGATATTTTCAACTTCATTCAGATGTTTTCTCTTACTGAATTCCTCTTCAGATAACATTAATTTATAATAAATATTGCCTGAATAAATACTGTGTATTCAATAATTGTCTCAAAAAGTCCAAATAACATTCATTTGAAATTATGAAATGAGCGTTAAAATTGAGTTGTTCTTAAAGCATGATGATGAAAAATTAAACCAATCGACTTCGGTTACTGGGTCCCACATTGTTCCAATTCATTTGAATATTCATTTTAATTAAAATATTCGAGTCAACTGAATTTTCAGTCATCTCGTGAGAATTAATCAAATCAACACAACTACTAAATTATCTACTGAAAATAGATAAATTCACTTTTATATTTAAATCGTTTTACTCTATCATTGTGTCATAGAATGGTTTAAATAAATAAATAAGCTTTATTCGTGAAATCCTGTCTATTTCAACAACAATTGGAAAGTTATCGCATTACACTAAAGACAATGTTCTAAAGCTCCGATAAATTTTCCTTACACATCCAGTTGATTAGATTTAAGCTAACGCGAATAATCTCTTCTACTTGCATTGAACAGTTTTCTAGCTCATTGGGAGATCAATGTAAGTGTAAATACTTTTGTATTCTTTGTTTGAGTCTTCCCACTGATGTTTATGACTGCAATTGATTAGTCTCTTATTGGCATATGTACATTCTGTGCAGATCGCCTCGATTTGGCCACAAGATTATGAGCAAAAATGGATGGTGACTAGCAGTGGAATCAAGGGCGCGCGTTTAGTCTTATTTGGGACTCTTCAGCTGGATGTACCTGCATCCCAGAGTTGATTTTCACCCTGGGACTCGAGCCCAGTACCGTTCACTTCAAACGTCATCGCGTTATCCCGGATTGAACATCGACTCTGGGATGTAGGTACATCCAATTGATGAGTCCCAAGCAAGACGAAACGCGCGTCCTTGATTCCACCGCTAGTCACCATCCACTTTTGCTTATGAGTATAAATATGTCGATTATTGACTATGGTTTTGGAATGCCTATTAATGAAAGCGGTAGTCTTTTTTTTTCATTCAAAAGTGGGAGAACAGAATATACCCGCATACCGCCGAGTGCAAATGTTTACTTTCACACTATAAAAAACTTTGTCTTTCTAACAAATAATAACACATGAGGTAACTACTATAATGTGGGCATTTTAAGGAGTGCGAACAAAACCTAAAATTAACAAGATGAAAAATAATATTTAGCTAATGAAGTTAAAATATACCCCTTTTATTCTACTGTTAGTTACTATTATTCACTACTTAAGAAGAAATAATTTAGAAGCAATGATATTAACAATTTAAATGTCAAATAGTATAGTAAGCCATTAAACTTTGCAAAAAATCCTTGATAGTACATCAATATCACATGACAGTAAATGTATGGTGATGATGGTTAAAAATATATTTGAAGGATACGGTGATGATTGAAGAACTGATCTAATAAAAATTAGCACTTATACATAAGATACAGGCAGGATAAAAAACTAACCTTGAAAATTAGCTATCCCTATTGGTTCACCACGATAATTTTTTATGTACTTTACACCATATACAATAATTGGTCGACGAAGGACATGACTTAAAGCGAATATATGGATTTGTTCTAAAGCTTCATCTGAATGAAGAGTAATTGGTGAAATTTATAATCGACAATCACAAATAAATACACAAAACATTATACAAATGGATATTCACTTTATGTGTATTTACATGAAAATTTTATTTTAAAAGTGTATTCACTAGTTTCTAGGGAAACATTTACTTTCATAATTCACATTGAAGTCAATAAAATAAACTAGTAAATGATAAATTGCATTGATTTCTTTTAAATTTAAACTTGAGGATTGAAATGAATGGGATTTATGCAATTTTCAATAATCAACTATTTGGAAAATGTTTATTCTATATAACTTATTCACTACTACTAATAAATTTCTAAATTAAATTAAAATACCACTTATTCATTATGTGATTCTTTGAAAAATTCTCAAACAACAAATAAGATGAAGTGTTTGTAACTAGGGGCAATAAATATATTTGACTATTTTCAACTTTGAAAGGAATCATCCAGAGATATGTATGTTGAAGAGGTTTTCTTCTCTAGAATAAAACCATATTAATCAAGAGGTAAAGTAGTAATAATGATAAGAAGAGGAAGAAAAAGAAAAAGGAGAGCAAACGAAAGGAGTAGCAACAAAGTCATACACAAAGACGATAACTGTATCATCACCTATAACTTAAATAGTTAATTATTTTTTGGATAAATCTTAATAAAGTTTTGTACGTAGAGTCCATTTACTTGAGCAGATTTTTCCCTACAAACGATTACATAAATTGGAGTCATCAACCCCACCCAGTCCATAAAATATAGTCTTTGATTACTTGTTTCTGCTAGTAGTATACAGACTATATAGGTTGATTTTACAGAAAGCCAGTAGATCGATGGAAATAAATTTTAAAAAGTTTGCATTACTTTATTTTACAATTTGAAGTATTGTATGAGTTAAAAGACTGCTTGAAATTAAATCACAACTATTACTGGCTTTAAACATGATCAATAAAATAAGAGAGTTAATCAGAAGTAGGGTCTTTTGGAATTCATTCAGAGATTCGAAATGCACCAACAGATTCAAATGTTAGCGTTGATAGTTAAACAGATAACATGCAAGGCAGAATTGGGGAGTTAAACTTTATGACGCCAGGTGGCTCCCCTCACTACATATCAATCACTAATTCAATCAAGTACGTAATGATGTTTTTCAGTACTACTAATGCGGTAAATCTTTGGAATGTATACATTCTTGCAGCCTCACTGGTAATTAAATTTACAAAGTTGTTGACGTTGAGAAAAGAAGGAAAATACTGCATTACATAATTATTTATAAGTAAATTAGTTTATATATTTTAGGCAGTATTTATCAAACAACTGTTCTATGACATTTTTATACGTGTTGTTATGTTTCGAGTAATTAGTTATTGTCAAACGCAAATAAGTTACTTAGTTTTGTTAAAAATATCTTAGTTACGTAACTTTTGGTATTTAAAAAGTGTGGTACATAGTGGTTTTGTACTTTATCTTGAATAATCACATGAGTTAGAAATCACAATGATAAACAGTGATTGTAACCGATCATCTGACTCATTGATATTTCAATTGAAAGTTTGAGAAATGGAAGTTTCCATGCTACACCGATCGATTGCAAAATATGTTAGTGTAACTAGAGAGGACAGTGTTGGGTATGCAGAAGATATGAAAGTTAAACCAACTTCAGTATACATAAAACAAGACTTCAGAGATTGATAAGCATACAAAGTTTAATTGTCAGTAAAAGTCAAGCATTTCAGTAACCAATGGAAGATGACACATGAGTGGTACTACCATTATGAATCTTGACTAAACTCTTAAAAAATAAAAAAGCGTAGAACAATCCAATCTCTATGACATAATCCTATTAGTAACCTTACGTGGTTGACATGCCGCTGTTAGTACATTTTCCCAGTCCCTTCGGCATTGATCTTCATCTAAAATATAATGACATGCAGCTTGTAATGCTTCGTAGTCGCGCCAGCGTGGATAAAAATTTGCTTCACAATTCTGAAGACTGTCAGCGAGTGTGCGACGTAGACAATTTTCTCTATCAAATACTCCCCAACAAGCCTAAAACAAAAGATATATCCATTCACAATTCAATCACTTTGTTTACTAGAAAGTATTTAGAATAACTGAAACTGCATAAAAAACAACATGACACAAAGAGGTTATGAGCAAACGCAATAATTTCAGTTAAAGAATAGTTCATATATTGTATTTCAATTTTACATTCTCTCACCACCATGTATCCAGAAGCTTAATAAAAATCTGCAACTCGAGACCAGGTATTTTGTACAAAGTTGAAAGTAATCATTTTAGGAGCATTAGATTTTGCACACTGTTAGATGAATCTAAGGTGTGGGCAGAAGTCCTGAGAAAGTACCAGTGTATTTTTAACTTATCATTTGTAATCTTGGTAAAAAAAAACTTGAAGAAACATGCATGAGGGTTGTGTAACAACGTGGATTCATTGGAGTTAGACATGAACGCCATTGAGGGCTGGCTCAGTGGTCTAGAGGTTAAGAGTTCGCCCACGGGACCAAAGGTTCTGGGTTCCATTCTTGGATGTGTGGTCATGAATGCTCAGCGCTTAGGAGTCCCATACTAGGACAAAACGACCGTCTAGTACTTCCAGGTTTTTAACGTTGGTTCAACGACAATCAGATCGTGATTTAAACTGGGAAACCTGATTTTTTTGGTAAGCAAACTGAAAATGTTACTTCTCTATTTTACAATACAACAACCGTTTAGAATAATTTCATACACAAATGTAAAGAGCATTTGACTATTTTGCATAGTTGTTCTTTTAAATGAAGAGTAATTAATTCACCAAGCACTAACCTGTAAAACGCTATCTAGCAGACAATCACCTGCTGTTCGATTCCACAAGGCAAATAGACGACTAGATTGTTTTTGTCCAGGAATAAACCACCAATTAATTGCTTTAGCCTCATCTTCCAACTCTACAGTTAACATCGAGAAGAAAAACTCAGTAACAGAATTTGTCAAACTGTTTGCTGATGCTGAATGTCTTCGTAATAAAAAGGTATTCATTCAGACAATCGAAACACCTAAATTACATCCTATCATACTTTTTTGGAGCATCAGTATGTAAAGAAAGAAGAACCGTAAACTTCTCAGTGGTTCGTTTGAAGATGGAAATAAACAATAACACATCTACAAGGAAAAGCTACGAATACGTCTCCACTACTTATTTTTACACAGCTTGGACATTCTTGTAAATTGGTATAAAAATAATAAAACAAACAATGATTCACTGCCGAAGGCTCGGTTAATCTTGCGATATCAACAAAGTGAGTGAACTGATTTCTATGATCCCGAATAATTAAAATGAAATGATTAAAGATCCATAGGATAATGGAATCTATACTCTTATGAATATAAGCGTCCTTGTTAAAATACAGAATTCGTCAACACACCTGGAACATGGTATTACTAGTAGATGATACACTAAGAAATTACTTAAGTATTTGGTAAATGTGGATCATGTGAAGTGTCTTGTAAATAATACTGTCGGAGATTTGGACAATTTGAACCAGCTTCTACGAACTATCACGACAATCTATTCGGAAGCGAAGTTTATCGTTATGTAATTCTTGATGATCTCTCAGCACTGAACAAATCAGAATATTTCTTTTGTAAGTTTTAGTAATTAGAGAAATAACGAAAGCAGTCTTCAATTTGTTACCGCGACTACTATGTTATTTAATCACTTCGCACATTTGCTAGCTTTCTTCTTGCCAAGGGAATAATTGTTATTCAAATGAATATTATTATTTTTTTAAGTTGAAGTGTTCTTTCACATTTCGTTATAAAAGTTACAAATCAGAATTCTCATTCATGATTCTGTTGAAAGTTAATTGTTTATTTTTACACATAATGTATCAGTGTATGTTTATTAAGATTATCACATGATAAGTGCAGTTTTCCATATAACCAAAATAATAAAGAGCTTATGTATTACGTAAAACAATGTGTATGCAATCACATTTTGTGTTTTTTTTTTCGTTAAGGAAATCAGTAAATAAGTACACACACATATACATACGGTGTGTAATGTGCATCTATTACAATGACGCACATCTAAAACTGTCATACATATTCGCGTCAAAGATCTACAGTTTCTTTTTTTAGATATAATCAATATGAAATGAGATGGATTTACAGACAGAAATAAAAACATCCACAGTAGAACAGTGAACAAAATTAGTAAAATTAACTGATACAATTTAATATCAGATGGGTTTTTGTGGAGATTGTAGTAATTTCAATGGTTAAGATCATGAGTCAGTTGAAGCTAGACCACCATGGAAAACCTGGAAGCACTGGACGGTCTGTTGTGAGGTAGTAACTCACTGAAGACAATGGTGAATGTGTCGCTCAATTTCGTGGATTAGTTGAAGTTAGACATTAACACCGTTGGATGCCAGCTCAGTGGTCTAGTGGTTAAGTGCTCGGGCGCGAAACCAGTAGGTCCTGGGTTCGAATCTCGCAGGGGGCGAGGTCGTGGATGCGCACTGCTGAGGAGTCCCACAATAGGACGAAACGGCCGTCCAGTGCTTCCATGGTGGTCTAGCTTCAACTGACTCATGATCTTAACCATTGAAATTGATACAATTTAGTGTCCTATATATTTTATAAGTTCTCGATACAGCTGAGCTTTAATCTTGTCGAGTGAAAAAAAAAACGGAAACATGTAAGGGTTTAGAAAGACAAAAAAGATATGTTACTGCTGATCCAGTAGGTAAGAATCCAGTGATCGGAAAGTGGAATCATTTTTGGAGTTAATCAAATTGATAGTGAATATGCATGTCCATTGATGAACAAGGTAAACGTCTTAAAGTCAGAAAGTGACTTTTATTATATCGCTTTCGAATCAGTAATTAAACAGTAATTTAGTCAATCCGAGACTGCTGAATAGCAAAATTGGTGTTCTAAATTATAACAATTCATACAGTTTTGACATTAAAAATTGTTATATCCTAGTGAAGATTACATTACGAGTAACGTCTGAGACATACTAATGGACTAATATTATTTATATATTCTTATGGTATAACTATTCAATAATTAGATTATGTATATTTATATTCCTTTTATTATAAGCTTTATTTTGACCTGTGATTTATTATTGTACGATTTACTGTTCTTAAGCTATGCTCAGTTTATTGACTACTGCCTCACGTTCACAGCCACTTTTGGCTTTATTGTGTATAAATGTCATTTCCAATTTTATGGTGCGTTGCGGTCTGTTTGTTTGTTATATAAACCCAGTATGTCTGAAACAAATGATTCGCATAGTGGAGGCTGTTATTGGCATTCTGGGCTCAGCTGGACGGGCTAGACGAGCAACGGACCAATAGGACGCTAGGCTGATCAGACCGGTCGAACGTCATTGGTTTAGTACAGTATGAGAGCGAATAAGTCGTATTTTGATTGGCGAATAGCTTACGTGATAACAAGCGGCTCATAAAGTCACAACAAAAACATCACGAACCTGATTGAGCTTGCATATCGCATAATTCCGATAACAGCAATTGTTTTACTGGAACAGGAAACTTTGTAATTGAATAAGGCAAAGCAAAAGTTCCCCATTCAGAAAAATAAGCGCATGGAAAGTCTCCTTTACAATGTTTTACCGTTTTTGCCAATAGATCTCGTAATTCACCAGCAATATGAGGGCTAGCTTGACACGGCATCCACTTACTTCTAGTGACTTGAGTCTTATTTATATTACCTGGTGTTCGATTCAAAATTAATTGAAGTGAGGGATGTATTTGATTTCCTGTTAGTGGACTGCTTAATTTACGATTTACTTGAATGTTTCTACTGTGAGTTTGCTGAGTATCTTGAAATGGAGGATTTAATGTGGAGTTACGTAGATTATTGCTTGAAAAAGTATTTGAAGTTGTAACGGACACTGTGACGTTAGTTGTAATGGTAGTACTATTCGATGAAGTAATGACCGAAGCGGTACTCAACGAATTCACAGGTAGTGTGGAATGCTTAGATCCAGAACCGACAGATATAGCGCTACTAGTAGCTTGTAGACCAATTAAAGCAATAAATAAGTTGATTAAATCCGTACGACAGAATCGAAGTGCTAGATCCACCAATGTCCAACCAGATCGAAATTTATATCCTGATGATGTGTAGTCCAGGTTACTGCAAACAATTCCACTTTCGCAACTCGGAATAGTTGTTTTATGAGAATAGCAGCTGCTGCCGGGTAGCTGACTCAAATTTGCATCATCAAATCGTTTTGGAGAATGATCAATACTTGAAAAAGTTGTCGATATATCGCAAATGGTAGTTGATTGCATATACGAATTCAAATAGCGGCACTCCTATTGAAAATTTTGAAGTAAAAATAATGAATGCAACGAGAATCCTGCAGACCATATTAAAAAAAACGTCAAAATGTCTATGCCAATATACTAATAACTTGTTAAATATACACCAAAAAGGTTGATAATGTATGCTTTGGTAACGATGTGTATATCTACGTTGTAGACTGAAAGGTTTTATGGAGATAAATATTACTGAAAAGTGTGTCAAAGTAGAGTACTCTATTGTAGGCTCTTTTTAACACTTGTGCATGGTAGCAACATAGGCTAGGTAGTGTGTAGCAGTTCATTTAGGATCACCTTAAATATAACCTTCGAAAGTCAGGGATATATGTAGGTTCCAAACACCTGATTACAGGTGTTTTAAAAACATTAATCTCAGATTATACGGTTAAGCAAATAAAATTACGTGGATTTAAACACCTAACTTAAGTAGATTGATAGAATTCGGGAATCATGAACTGGAAAATACAACGATTGTCCATCCTAAACACTTAGTTTAAGTTATCACACTTAAATATTAATAATTAACATCGCAATACACCATATGATACTCGACTCAAAAACAATGATTTTTTATGGAATATTAGCAAGAAATACCAGTCATCAGAAATCTCCTGTTTTTCGATTACTTATTTGACTCTTCTCTTCGGAAAAGCAACACAGAAATGCTGTATATTTATAGATAAATATGGGGATTCATCTGCCCTCACAGTATTATCTAAATTTTAAAAACCACACTTTTATAATAGAGAGCTAATGAGGTCAACATGACACAATTGTACGTCTCACCTAATTAGATATGTACGCAGTATGGATTTAAGATGTAACAACTAAATAATATAATAAATAATAGCCTGGATGGAATAAGTTAGGAAAACAAAAACTTGAGGTCTTTGGACTTTTAATTAATTTCATTTGAAATTTTAAGATAGTAATAATGACTGAATAGCTTATACATACAAAAAAACCATAGCTCGAATAGCTCAGAGTCTGTGACTTTGTCGCTGCGCGACGTACGAACCTCTTCACTAGAACGAAATTCCTTGAAGTTGCATGTATGCCTGGTTGATAAGAAATGTTAATAAATAAATAACCTAGGCTCATAGCTTTCGAATAAGTGACTCCAACAAATTTTTGAATTATGAATGTTTAAAACAGATAATTATTGGGATGTTTTGTTCAATACAAATCCCTGACAATTTTACTAATGTATTTACACAAAGAGATGATTTAAAGTGTTGAGTATTGTGGAAAAAATTGTTTCGTACATTTCTGTTTAATAACCCAAACAATATAAAAACACTATAGAATACTGACAACCATAATAGCAAATGAAAACATGTTTTATATAATCAAAAAGCTTCGTAAAAGTGACTGATCCAGACCAGTACCCACAAAAGTGGAATTTATTTCGCCTGTAAAATTTTAAGAAGGAATACGTATAAACTAAAATTCTTTACCTATAAAACACTCACGTGTTTTGTTAGTTTTCGTTCTATTCTACCATTACCAAGTATGTAACGCTCAATTGGTGCTACATCACCGTTTACCACAGCAACGCATGCTGACAGCCATAAACGATCACGAGAAGTTAATGGCGTATTATATGAAATATTTGATTTTGGGCGCCGATTACAATTTAAACTAGATGAATTAGATGAAACGCATGTTGAATTACTATTCTTGCTCTCAGTATCTTCATAATCAACTACACATATTGGCTGTGGTGGAGATGCAAAGCACATCACACAGTGCTTACTTTTAGGCCAGTTTTCATATGTACATTCAATACATGTCCATTTACCGGATGGTGACAAAGATGTTGTAGTAGAAGAGGATAACCATGTTGAAGAAGCTTGTTTGAAAACTTCAGCATCTAAAACTGGTGAGTCACAGAGAACCTGAAAACACTGTTCACACTTAAAGTTTTGTCGTTGATTAAGATAAGTACATGACTGGCACTTTATAAGTTGCGTAGAATCGAAGACAGCCTCGGCACAAGACTCGTCAATTTTTTCAGAATCTTTAGACGACAAATGCAAACGTTGCATTTCATCTTCGATAAGAGTTGAGCTTCTTGGTGTACCACACAAAGTACACTTAAATGCTGCTGGCCAATTGTCATACGTACATACGGCACAAGGCCACTTAGCGCCAACATCCATGTGTCTGGAACAATTTTCAAATGCAAAAGTTAATTTTAAGATTTTAAATTCACATATTTGTGTTTGGAAAAAAGAAAAAGCGCGACTTAATAACTGTGCTATCGAACATGAATTACAAACAGACGGATCCTCTGAGTAATCTGAAGTCCATAATTTCTTCTGTTGGATGCTCAGAGTTTCATGTTTGGTGGCACCACATTAGACTAACTTCAAACTTCATGCTCATTGAAACAAAGGGTGGTTATTAAGGAAAGTTATGATCAAACTAGACAATCATGGCTAGGATACTTAGATCTCACATACGTGAGACACAATCAGTAGTATTAGTAGCTAAAACGTCTTTCCTTATAGCAGATAGATGAGGCTATTGACCCAAGCATCAGAATTAACTGCCATCAAATAACGAGAAGACTCGGCAATGGGACAGATTTTTATCTGGTAAAATAACAAGCTTACTTACAAAATATGAAATATAAAACTAAGTATAAGACTTCATCAAACAATTTAATGATGCAGGATAGGAGTTTTATCGGTCATTGACCTATATAATAAAGGCCTGAATATTATTATAAAACCATAGGACGATGGTTCACTGCTCAATATATGGACTGCTTAGACTTCTTAGTCGGATTGATTTGGTGCTTATTTCAGGCAAAAACAAACATTGGTAGTGACTGAGTATGCCCACCATGTAATTGTACCATTTCGATCAATACATATTTACAACCAGACCAGTTAATTTGTCCTTACTAAAAATCTGACACCCTAATTAACTGTAACCATTTAGTAGTTCACATGTATGATATAAATATTTTTGGAGACATTATCTATCAAGTACCTACGGATCCCTCACTTCCCTCTTCCAATAAATGTGTTTCAGAGACTAAATAAACACTTGATTTTTAATAGGTATCTTAATATAATACTTAAACCACAGAGATAAATGGACGAATATCATATAAATTCATATTTCTTTTCTTCAGTGATGAGTCATCAAAATATTACGAAGGAACGTGTGTAAACTAAATGTTTAGCGAATTCAGCAACTTAAACCATAGTAAGATTGGGTCTTTACTCATACTATATATAAACACAAGTAATCTCTGTGCTACCCTACAAACATGAACTATGATCATTAAGAGAAAAGGGTTCATGAAGGCTCTGGGTTTTTTAATATCAATGTCTTCTAAGCTTTTTCCCATTTACTAAAACCATCGTGTTATTAGTAGAAGAGTTACAAGTTAAAAAAAATTAAGTCATTCGATAACAAATCTAAGAGCTGTGATGATACTTATTAGTTTTCACTATTAAACATGGTCACCAAAATAAAACAGTAGTTTGATGCTGCATAAAAGTCATGAATATTTTGGTTTAACTAGGCTGATTTCGTCTCCAGAACGGAAACTTGGGAATATCATCTTTACAACTTCGTTTTAAAGGAACAGGTGATAAATGCGTCCAAGATTTAAAGAGGGACTCCTCGGAGTAATTATTCGACGGTTCTTACAGGAAACATTAACCTACCCCGTTGTTATGAAGAGCGTTGGGAAATTTTCAGTTTTTGAAGAGTAAAAGCATTAGTCACCTCAAAGTACACAAGTGAGTCAATACTAATGTGTCTTCTAATACATCTTCCTGCCACTGAATTACTTTTCAGTATTTTTGTTCCTCAGAATAGCGCTCTAACCGCTTTCGTGTATTGCGAAGTGAGACAACACATCATTATTGTAAATTCATGTTATAACTATCTGCTCTAAATTGCACTACTCCGGGAATTCTTGTTTAGTAAGTTAACCCAAATACTTCTAATTATCATACTGCAGTCGTGATCAGGATCAAATTTTGAACAGCTGGGTGTTAATTTAAATAAGAATATTTTTGTAGACTAAGTGAAGAGGTTTAGAATCTGGCGCTTAATTGGAAAAGATATGAAAGATGGTAGATTCACAGCTCGTTTCCTGACATTCATTGGCAAGGAAGCGTATAACATGCTAAAGAATCTGGCTATTCCAGGGAGACCGATTTCATTATCATATGAATCTCTCAAGGAATCACTACTTGGTTAAATGCAGTGTGCTAGCTTTGAATGCAAAAATCGAAATTTTATAAGACTATGTGACAAAACGATCAGAAAGTTAGAGACTTTATACTTAAACTATAGAAACAGGCAGCGAAGTGCAATTTCAGAGGCCAGTTGGGAATTCAACTTCGTGATCAACTGATTGTTGGAATAAGTATTTCGAAGGTACAGATAGGTTTGGCGAATGTTTACTATGGTGAATTTCACTTCCGTAATTCAGGTGTTTCGTCATGTGAAATGCTTTAAGTGTGACAAAAACGGACACAGTAAGTCGGTTTGTAGAACTGTTTTTTTGCCGCTAGTAATGTTAAACTTTGTAATTCATACCCCATTAGTTTGAGTGATTCTAATAATCATATACTATCCCTATTCACAACTTACAGTAATTCACTTGATATTTAGAAACGGCTATACTTGTCCAGTGATGCTTTTACGATTTTATTGTTGAAACTAAAAGTATCAAGTCCATCATTTCAGTTGGAAAGTTGAAGTCATTGAATCCCAATCCTACAATTAAACCTATCAAGGTTTCTATTTTGAGTATCAATAGTCATAAACTTCCTATATTTAGGTGTAATAATTTGCTGATTTGAGACGATAAATCTTCAACTATAAATTGAGAACTCCTCATCACTGATTGTGGTCAATCTATCCTGAGGTTAGAAAGTATAAGGATACTTCACGGAAAGCTTTCCTTATTGACCGATGAAGAGGGTTATAGTAAAATGCTTGATAAATTAATAAGCACAGAATGGAAATGCGAAGGATTGCTCCCAGCTTCGAAGCTCTCTTATTCTGATCCTCTGAAGTGATCAAGATCTTAGGTGGGGACAAGCAATTGTATCTTGATACGAAATTAGAGTCCTTCATTTGCAAACCCTCCATCAAGTGTCTCAAACTTCATCATTCCCTCATTTCCATAACAATTACTTTTTATTCCTGTTCTATTTGATTCGATCTCCCGAACCTTCTGCTGACAGGCATTCCACTTCTGATCGGTGCTGTATACTGCTTGTCTGTCGACACAAGTAGTATACACACCTCAAGCAGAAAATATCAAGACCTTGGAAACAACTATTAATTCTACTACTGTTATGAAATCAAAAGACCAAGAGAGGAGGGTAAAGTCTTTCAGTGCAGAATTACCAGACCATACGCAAAAGAAACAATGATGAGATTGCTTAAACAAAAGCTGTTTGTTCAAATACGGGACGTTTGTAATCTATCGATGTTACACGCTGTTGAGGAATTGACTTTCCGCAAACTATGAAAGGTCTGTTAAGTGAGGTCGATAAATCTATGGTTCATACACAAGACAGTCACAACGACACAACACGTTACAAGGATGGACCAAGTACACTGAATTAAAGCGAGCAATTCGAAGTCTGTAACCAGAATATAGTGCTCAAATAAGACTGAAAATTATTCATCTGATCAACATTCACGAAGCATGGGTCAGCCTTTAAGGAGACGCTAACATCAGCAGGTCTCCAATAAATAATAAATTTACAAACCGTCAAACCGCTATCAGTAAAATCCGTAAAGAAAGTATAGAAGTCAAAATAACGGCAACAAATTTATAGAGCACCACGTAAGTAACATAATATGATAAAGCCGAAAGAAGTCAAGTAATAATGTTAAAAATTGAAATTTAAGTCATAAAAGACGAATGTTTCACTACCCTTTCAAACCGTTTTGAGCCATGTTACCTGGTATCTTCAGCTACTGATTATTGACATCTAGAAACGAAATTTACAGTCCGGTATGAATAACTATTGTCTCCATCTTTATAAAGGACTTCTAAAACTATTGACTAGTATCACAACATTCAAAACCATTTTCTGAAACACCGTTCAAGCGAATGTGTCAATATATTAAAAAATGATTACATTGTTGCCCATCCAAGCTGTTTCGGTGAATAATTAACAAGTGAGGAAGATTTGGTTACATGCACAAAATGATTTGGAGAATTTATTGGTAGTTCTGTGTACTAGTTTCTGCACCGAACATACTTTCAGTCAGTCAGTCAGTTACAACGTAGGAGCAAGCACATATGTGCATCGGTCCAAGTTGCCACACCTCATTAGCATAGCAAGATGAACACCAAATTCATAGAAGCGATTAACTCAATGATGTAATATATAAAGGAAAGATTGCATATAAGGATATAGTACAGGAAGAAAGTTAGCTCGTAGAAAGATAGATATGAAGTAATTTTAATCTCATAGTTTAAGGGAAGACAGAGAGTGTATACACCGACGCCATTGTCGTCGATTCTGAGCCATGCCACCAAGAGTCTCCAACCATTGGTTACGATAGTTACGCGGACCCCAACCAAGTAATCTGCATCTACTAACATGGCTCAGACTAGAAGTTAGTGACTTCAAGCACTGCTGCCACGTTTTGGTTTGGCCGCCCCTAACTTTCTCCCAACCATCCCCAACACCAGTTGGCATTGCGCGTCGTGGTAATCGATGTTCAGGCACACGCAACACGTGTCCCAGCCATCTCAGTCGATAAACATTTACAACCTCATCAACTGATTTACCATCATTCCCTAATACCCTGCGTCTAACTTCACTATTGCTTTCCCGCTGATCCCAGCAGACGCCAGCAATATTTCTAAGACATCTGCAATCAAATACTAATAGCTATCGAGTATCTACTCTTAATGGCCACGTTTTGCGGCTGCAAAGTCAGACACCAACCCATTAGGGCTGAACAGACTTCCAAGATAAGTAAAGTTGTCGACGTGTTTGACTACTTTACTGTCTATCCTTAGTTCAGGTGTTGACGCAGGCCAGTCCTGAAGCAAAAACTTGTATTTCGAGGGAGAGAAGTGCATTCCAAACATTCTGGCATAGTTGCTTAGTGATACCAAAAGACTGCATTTTATCAGCGTATTCACCAAACAGGACTATATCATCTGCGTACTCTAAGTCGATGAGTGAACCTCCTGGAAGGAGATCAATGCCCCAGAAATCAGTCGACGTGAACGCTATTTCCATCAGTAGGTATATGACGAAGGTAAACAAAAACGGAGAAAGTGGACAGCCTTGACGGACACCAATTGAGGTTGCAAAAACAGATGACAGTTCGCCAAAAGCTCAATCGGTACTGTTCGAGTAGAGAGCCTTCACAAGATTTATGTACTTTTGAGGTACGCCTTTCAATGATAGACACTGCCACAGAACTTCTCGGTCTACAGAGTCAAATGCTGCTTTTAGGTCAAGAAAGACCACCATTATCGGACGCCGATAAGTATGCTTGTGTTCTAGAACCTGACGAATGGTGAATATGGGGTCAATGCAGCCACGACCAGGCCTGAAGCCAGCCTGATTTTCACGTGTTTGCAGTTCACAGGTCTTTGTTAGGCGCCAGACATACTTTAGGACAGAATGTACAAATAATGAACTAGATATACTTGATTTTGTTTCCCTATAATGTGACGATAGAGACCCAACCTATTTCTGAGAAAATTGTTTTTTTTTCGGTAGATTTGCGGGAAGCCTCAATTGAAAACTTCATGGAAATTGCATAAAAACCCCGAAATTTCCGCAGGTCCGAGTGAATTTACCCGAATTAATCCTCAAACATTTTGAGAAGTTCCTCAAAATCTCCCCGGAAACTTATGGCACTTCGGGGTTTTTCCTTAAACTTTTGGGAAAACTACAAAACTTTTCACGACTTTGGGGACAACCCCAAAATTTGCCCGAAATTCCCTAAAGTTTCGCCAAAATAGAAAGATTGGGGACATCTAAACAGGATAACGCAGCAATTCTGATGAGGCCAAGTTCATGGATTCCCTAATACAAATTCTGTGTAAATTCTTGACAGTACTTCTCGCCAACAAACTCTTAGCCAAAAACAAGGAAATACAAATTAGGTTATACATATTTCTGCCCCAAAAGTGATCATTATTATCTGTCCTTTAAAACAGATTCCAGCCTGCTACTTGTGTTTAAAATATAACACACATTAAAAACAAATAAGACAGAAATTACCGGTTTTTCTAAAATACTACATTATCCACACTCCCGAAATCACCGCCAGTACAAGCACAAATTGACCGAAAATTTCGACGCGTCAAAACAAACTTCTTGCTTGACACTGAGCATCTCGGATCTTAAACGATTATGTATGAACTGGAAATTCCTTTTACCTACTACTCATCGATCTGAAACCTGTTAGGTTCAGTGTACGTTGACAAGCTCATTCTCGTGAATTATCAATATATGCGTTTGAGTAAATAGCCTGCAAACGATGTTCTGCATTTATTTTAACATCGATAGCGTTTCGTATCACTATTGCTAACTTGTCTCGAGAGTGACACTCTTTGGTTTCTTGTTTCCTCTTTGGTGCTTTTCAGCTAAGTTATCGCACTAATAGCAGCACCCATCCTTTTTCATTCTGTGTGGACAGTTTCATTATGCCACTTAGAATTCCAACCTTTCGTCTACGAGTTTTATTCTATGTGATAACAATCATCAATTTCTTGGCCTCTGATTGCTCAGTCACGATACTTTCCCACGACGAAATCACAACTTCATTTCTTCAAGGTCACACTTCTAAACTTTCAGTTAGCCTACCAAATATACTTACAAGTAGAATTGAACACGTAGGGCCAATGAAATGTCACTAGGCCTTAGCCAAATCATCCGGTAGTTTGGTCACTGAATATCGAACAGATCCTCGCTCCTCGTCAAAGTAGACCGACGCGCATCATTTGATCGTATGCCATGGACTGGAGCATGTGGTGGTGGTCTCTCTATCTTCGCTGTACTCATTCTTACTAATATATATTGGCATAATAACGTCCTTCGTGCTGTACAGCCATCAAAGCAGCCTTAGAACTTTGATACGTCGAAAGTCTAGTGAACATTAGATGCTGACCGCGAGGTGTGACTTCGAAATTAGCTGGTTCGTCACACCATACCCGTCTAACTAGAGTAGGCCTCCAATCATTCGACATAGATCATCTACGTTAGCGATCTACAAACATTTACAAAATAAAAACTATCAACGATATTGACTGATTTTGTAAATGAAGTCAACACAAGTTGATGATCAACCCGACATACTACCACTATATTATCAACACTTACGAAAATTTTCGATTTACTTGTCTGGAAAACTGTCAATCTTTTGTCAAGTTCATCCCTCTTGGTTTGACGTAACAGAACGTCGAAATTTATATTGTTTTTTATTACTGCCATTGTAAATCATTTCACATTAATATACACTATTAGTCTACGTCAGGCACATAAACGAATTCCAAGTTCTTTGATTTATTATAACGCGATATCTCCCGATTACTGGCCCGAGCCTTCTTCCAAATTATTAGTTGTTTCTGGTCCGAATGTTCAATAGTATACAGATTATATCTTGTCTCAATCTAGTTTAAAGCCCTAACACAATGTGCCAACTAGTACCATGTTCCAGCCAGTAATGAATGAGTTTGGATTGAGATTAACGGTCTTGGGCAGATGTGTAGAACTATGGTCAACTACGATATTAGTATTGCTCTAATAATAGACCTAATCCTAAATTTGTAGATTTGTCATGACATAACTTCCTAATCTATAAGATCTTACGTGGAAGTCACACCATCGACTACACCAACTCACTGTATCGCATCAATTACCAATACATGATGTAGAACAAGATTAGGCTAGAGAAAGAACAATATATTTAATATGAATAGAAGATATAAGGTAACATTCAGCAGAGACCACGCCTGCATGGCCGAGCCATGCTACTCGACCAACTCCAGTCCATTCAATTCATTCTCCGCGCCTTATCCATTGTTAGGTATTTCCCCGAGTTAAATATTGAATATCTATTTTCTGAGTAGTCTCGTGTTCACAGCTTTGTGGATTGTGTGGCTATTGTCCAATGCCACTACACTACTCTCCCACCAGAATCAACGTGATGTTGGTTCGATACCAAATCGGATGGGATCGTCGCGTGCCGGAGGTTACCAAGGATAATAAGGATCCTCCGGGTATTGATAAGCTGAAAGATAAATCAAAAAGAAGGCGGCAGCATCTGGGCGGGAAATACATGTAATAATCTTAAAATATCTGCTTTCATGATTAACACGCTTAAAATGAAAATTTGGTTGAAGATTATTTGAACTATAAAAAATGAGATCACAATAATAATAATAAAACGATGCGTGTTAATAACTTAACTTATAGGCAGTAATTATTTTGTGTTTAGAAATATTAAAGTAATGAATATTGTAGAAATGTTAATATTGGTATTAGTTTTGGTTTAAACTATGAAATCAAATAACGATTATGCCGGTAAGTTGTCCATATGAGTTGAATTCCAATTGCATCTGTATTAGTAGGCTAACTGAAGGAACGAAAGTATACCGTGGAGAAGAATTCCAACTAGTGTTCCAGTTAGTTTGATACGGTTTATTTAGTTACGGGGAGATTTTCTCAACCTCATTTTTACTTGACCGTGATAGGATTTAGTAATACTACTAATACACATGAATGGTTATCAAAATAAAATTTAAATACATGAGTGGTAATTATATGGATTTTGGACAGATAGCTAGGAAAAATCGTTAAACATGAGTGTGTTCGTAAGAGACATGCTCAAGACTCAATGTTCTGATCTGCCATAGAATATTTATTTTTATTTATACCTACCGGCTGATGGTGCATACAAGTTAGTTGCAAGTATGCAGTTTGTCATAAGGCGGAATACGATTTAATTGAGATATAATGGTTATAAGTTATTGAAATCAGTTAGGCCTGTGTCATATTACGAAGTGATGTGGTGCTGCAGGATGTATTTAGCTAAATAAGTTTTTACAAGATGATTAATAGTGAGTGATGTTCAAGTGATTATCAGGGAGAACATAAGTTGTAACCAGGGGGAGTACACTCCCATCTCATGTCTATGATAATGGCTTGAACCTTAGTCAGTGTTGGGGTAAATTCGACATTGATGTTTTCAGCTTACAGGAGATTTGCTCGACTGTTTATACTGATTATTTGCATGCATGATTGTATCGCTAAACCATCAATTAGACTGACAAGGTTTTGAGATATTTACTGAATGAGCAACTGATAGAGAAACATACTGTAATCATCTGTAGTGAATGAAGATACCAAGAAAACAACACCATTTAATGGTAATTATAAGTCAATTTGTTGACCGATTTCGTTAATAGTTTGATTAATCTTATCAGTCATATTACGTGATTGTCAAGT